TGAGGTATCCAATCGTTGACGTCTGACAGGTACGGCGTGTACGCCAACTGGGCCATGTTTGACCCGTGGTTCGCTGTCCGCATGTTGTTCCACGGCTGGCACCCCAACTCGCCGCTTTCCCACCCCCTCCTGGTGAGGCAAGCCTTCTTTGGCGACCAGATAACCGAAGCCGGCGTTGTGGACTTTCAGCAACATGTAAATCGATACGAATCTTTTCTATGGCCAATTAGCATGATGAAGCCTTTCGCCAAGGCCGCCGACATCATCAATTCGATCAGCGGCTGGGGCACTAGCACGAGAATCCTAATACTCACGGGCACCCAGGACAAGTTGATGACGCGTGGTGTCATGCAGAAGCTCGCCGCGACATTTAGGCATGGCTTTGCGCAGCTCGTGGGCGAAAAGAAGCTGGATGCCAAGGTTGACACTGACAACTCCACTGGAAGAGAGGGCAATGAAGATGATGAGAGTTGCGGAGTGAGGCTAGCTTGGGTTCCTGGGGCCGGACACCACTTACAGAACGATGTGATGTGGGAAGTTGGTGCAAAAAAGCTGCTCGACTTTCATGAGCAGCTGTAGATGAATGCGCGAAACAAAACTCTACTCAATTATTCGGTATGCTATTCAGGTATATAGACATGGGTAAATATAGGGACCAAAAAAGCGAGCCAGCGAGTTGTTAATTCAATACTCCGCTGAAATATCACAGCTCTTAATATTTTTCAACTCCTGAAGCGTTTGACGTAACCATGTTGACGTGCTTGATCAAATTGAATATTTTGCTTTTCACTCTCCAGAAATATTATCCCTCGTAAAATTCCAAGGTCAGAATACGTTTTCAAAATGAAACAATCAAATTCGTATGTTCGTTGTCACTGGGATGGCTTATTTGCGATGAGAGGTGTGATCTCATGGTGAACGCTCGTTCCTCATAAAAAAATTCGCGGGATCAACCTAGCTTCACCGAACCTCCGCCCTACAACACCCACTCCAGTGACCCCTCAAAAATGGCCACGCAAACATTCGAGACGAACGGCGTTCGCGTCGCCGTAGAAGGCTGCGTAGGACTCACTTCTATCCATCTCAATCAAAACCCAGCCGCGCTAATCTTACTCTAGGGCCACGGCACGCTCAACGCGATCTATGCCGCCGTCGCCTCCTCCTGCGCCGCCCGCGGCTGGGACGGCGTCGACATCCTCATCATCGGCGGCGATTTCCAGGCTGCCCGCAACGCCGCCGACCTCACCGTCATGTCCGTCCCCGCAAAGTACCGCGAGCTCGGCGACTTCTGGGAGTACTACGCGGGCCGCCGCGCCGCGCCGTACCTGACCGTCTTCGCGGCCGGCAACCACGAGGCCGCGGCGCACCTGTGGGAGCTCTACTACGGTGGCTGGGCGGCGCCGAACATCTACTACCTCGGCGCGGCGAACGTGCTGCGCCTTGGCCCGCTGCGGATCGCGGCGATGAGCGGCATCTGGAAGGGCTTCGACTACCGCAAGACGCATCACGAGAGGCTGCCGATGGGTCCGGACGAGATCAAGAGCTTCTATCACGTGAGGGAAGTGGATGTGCGGAAGCTGCTGCTCGTGAGGGAGCAGGTTGACGTTGGGGTCAGCCACGACTGGCCGAGGGGGATTGAGAGGTGGGGTGATGAGAAGGCGCTGTGGCGGATGAAGCCTGATTTCGAGAGGGAGTCGAAGGACGGCACGTTGGGGAATGTTGCGGCGGAGTACGTTTGTGACCGGTTGAGGCCGCCTTATTGGTTTTCGGCGCATTTGCATTGCAAGTTTGCCGCGTTGAAGATCTACAAGGATGATGATGGTGCGAAGGACGCGGAGGCGAAGGGTGCAGCTGCAGAGACCGCTCTGGTCCCCGAGCCAGCTGCGGCGCCAGAGGGAAATCCGGATGAGATTGATTTGGATGGTGATGAGGAGGTCGCGGACGCACCACCGGTCACGCAGACGAACCCGAACGAGATTGATCTCGACGAAGACGTAGCTGACGAGCCAGCCGCTGCTGCGAACGCCCCGGCCAGCAGGCCAGAGCCCGTCACCAAGAACACCGTCTCCGAAGAATTGCGCGCCCAGCTTCCCGCATCATTCGCCCGCCCCCAACCGCAGGCCAAGCGGACGCCGGGCCAACCCGTCCCGCCGACCATCACAAACAAGCAGGTCAACTTCCTCGCCCTCGACAAGTGCCTCCCCCGCCGGCACTTCCTCCAGCTCCTCGAGGCGCGCCCGCACAACGTCCTCCCCGCCGACCAGCCTGCGCCCGCCCGCCCCTTCCTTCTGCAGTACGACCCCGAGTGGCTCGCCATCACCCGCGTCTTCCACCCGACGCTGAAGATCGGGGACCCGTCGGCGCACACCCCGCAGGACCTGGGCGAGGAGCACTACGCACCGCTCATCGATGCGGAGCGCAAGTGGGTTGAGGAGAACATCGTTGCGAAGAACAGCCTGGATGTCCCGCTCAACTTTGAGGTCACGGCGCCGCCTCACACCGAGGGTGAGCCCGAGTCGGTGCCGCATCAGCCGTTCGAGTACACCAGCCCGCAGACGGCGGCGTTCTGCGAGCTGCTGGATATTCAAAACATTTGGGACGCGAGCGCGGAGGAGCGCCTGGAGAGAAAGGCCAGGGGACCGCCTGCTGGGGAGTTTAGAGGACACCGAGGCGGCGGAAGAGGCTTTCACAGGGGCGGGCGTGGTGGTCGAGGCGGTAGAGGTCGGGGAAGGGGCAGAGGCCGAGGTTCGCATTAGAGTACACCATCACTTTTTGAACGAAAGTCGAATACCTGGAGAAGAAATTGATGATGAAAATTGTATTATACCCAGCTACGGGAGGACTAGTATGAAAGTATGTATCCCAACAGAAAAAGCGTAGATCTCAATGGAAGAACCTGAGCCGAGCAGAGTGAGTGGAATGGATTCAATCTTCCATCTATTTTAGACGTTCAGCCCACGGAGGAGTGTAGGGAGGAACGCATATGCTAAGATGGGGTGCTGTCGCGTTTGACGTAGCGAAACACGTTTTTGGTCATCATCGAAAAAGGAAAAGAGAAAAATTGCCTCTTCGGCGTGGATTCGTCAGTATGGCGTAGCAGTGGTATCTTTTCCCCAGTGTGCCTTTGCCGTCATGCTCAAACGCCCAGAACTCCGTGATAGCAAGCCTAAATCACATGGATTGTTTCATAACAGTCATCACAAGGAGCCGGTGTTCTGTTCTGGAAGCAGTGTTAGAACCGTTGCGGCCGAGACAACCCGTGGGGGAGGAGGAGGCTGGGGAGGGTTTTGTCTTACTGTCCAGGCCCAGGTAGTCGGCGGCGACCAGCAGCTCGAGGCACAGCTCGACGGGAATGTCCATGTCTGGGACGTCTTCACGCTCCCGGTAGCGGTACCAGTATTGGAAATACTCGCAGACCTTCTCGAGGACAACGCCACTGCGGGAACCCGGTGGTTAGATTCTTCCAGAACGCGGACAGAAGAAAGCGGAAGGATTGTGCTGCGTATGTATGTGTGTGGCTGGGAAACCAGCGTGGGAAGAGGAAATAAGCAATGTTGGGTTTGTTTCAGATCAAGTGTAGTTGGCAATCAAGCAGACCAGCCGTTGCAGCAGCGGTCTGTCAGTAAGAACACAGCGAAATAAATTTAAGATCATCATATGTTGATGTTTGGGGTTGAGAAATAGACGGTTGAAAAGCTTACCTGATTTCTGAAAAGACGCAGCGTCCCGAGGTGGCCTCACGGAACTGGCTGCGGGGATCCAACATGCCCTTGATCGCTGGGCTGATCAGGGCAGCCTCGCGCAGCACGACGAACTCGAAGCCATCACTAGAGACCAGAGTAATGTACTTGCTTTGGGCGTCCCCGTTGGTGTCCATGGTTGCGGCGAGGGTTTTGCCTCAAGACTATGGCAGTGGAGGGCTGCTGAGAATGCTGCGTCCCTTGGCAGGTGGCACTGCTTTCGAGTGAAAGCAGATGTGTGAGGCGTTGCTCCTCTGTGTGGTGATGCAGCTCTCGCTCTCGAGGCTTTCTTGCTTCCTCAATGCTGGTGGCAAGCGGAAACAGTGATGAAAGATGGGCGCGATCGTTGTGGAAAAATTCACGTCGCGATTTTGAAGTAGGCGGTGGTGGGGTGGAGCTCGGGCCTCCCACAGCTGCTGCCGCCCGCCGGAATGCGAATTGGCCGTTCCTCGACCGGATAAACTGACGATAGCTGAGATGTTCCGATCCAATGTTTCTGGGCGGTGCGTCAGACGACAGGGGCCAACCAAGCTTGTCAGGGATTGCAGTTGATCCGCCGCTAAACAGGCTCCACCTTTCTCAGGCGTCGGTGCAGGTCAGTGTCGCTGTTGGCCCGTGGGTCCCTAATCAGGCTTCTCGACGCCTGGCCGCTCGCAACCCGCCTGCCGTCATCACCCCGGCAAGAAGTGGCTGGTTGCCCCGTCGACTTGTTTACAATTGCCCTCCTTGCTCCCGTCCGCTCTCCTCAAGAACAGCACAACCCGCCCATCCACACCTCTCGCACACAAACCCACCCCCATACAATACACAATCCCGAGCTGATCAGATCAACACACCTTCTCCAACATTCCTCAATCCAAACGCCGCAACGTCCCCTAGCCCGCACCGCATGCCGAACCAGAACCGTATCTCAACGGTATCCGACTGAACTGAACGCAGCAGCACGACCGCCACATTCGAGGAAACCGAGAGGTTGGAGAAAAAGCAACTATCCGTACCACACCACCGCTTTCTAATCTGTACCCGGGGAAACATCTACAGCCCAGACAACATTCGCATAAGTCACAACTTTCGTCTTCTCCCCCCTCAACAACCCCTCCCCCTCAGACGAACGAACGGCCCCTACCTACTACACACCTACACTTCATCATCATCAACAACAACGCACCCGCATCACGCAACGAGGGGCCGCGCCGCGAAACAACGTTAGTTTGTCGTCGCACAACACCCACACCACCACACACTTGAGTCTGCCGCATTATGGCGTCCTCATACCAACGCTCCTCACACCAGTACTCCTCGTCCCAGACCTTCAGCGAAAAGTACGACGACGGCCTGGGACGCCCGACCACCTCCCGCCGCAACACGCGCCTTAGGAGCAGCGACGGCACCGTCAGCACCACAATGAGCTCTTCCACAGGGCGCGAGAGCGCCGCAACCCACGTCACCGAGGGCCCTGCCTACTCCAAGAAAATTGTCGTCGTCGGCGACGGCGGCTGCGGCAAGACTTGTCTTCTCATCAGCTACAGCCAAGGCTACTTTCCAGAGGTAAGGCACCGCACAGAAAAATGCCATCCCAATTTCGTCCCGTCACCGCACTTCGTCGCTGCTGGGTTCGCAACGCTATCCCTGCCCATTTGGCGCTTCGGGCAACCGAAATGAATCAAAATAATGCTGACCATGGCGACGCAGAAATACGTCCCCACCGTCTTTGAAAACTACATCACGTACCCGACGCACCCGCCGTCTGGTAAGACCGTGGAGCTGGCGCTGTGGGACACGGCCGGTCAGGAGGAGTACGACCGACTGCGACCACTTTCCTACCCGGAGACGGACCTGATATTCGTGTGTTTTGCGATTGACTGTCCCAACTCGCTAGAAAACGTCATGGACAAGGTACCCCCCTCTGATAACAATGCCCCTCCTATCGGGCGGACCCCGTTTTTCCTCCCGCTAATGCTAATTTGTTCTCATCGTAGTGGTACCCTGAAGTCCTCCACTTCTGCCCATACACCCCTCTGGTCCTCGTCGGCCTCAAGTCAGACCTGCGCTTCAAGAAGACATGTATCGATATGCTCAAGACACAAGGCTTAACCCCTGTGACGACGGAGCAAGGCCGTGCCGTCGCCCGCAAGATGGGCGCCCAGTACATGGAGTGCAGTAGTAAGGAGATGACTGGTGTCGACGAGATCTTTGAGCAGGCCATCCTGACCGTTGTCGCCAACGACCGCAAAAACCTCGAGGCCCAGGCAGCCGTCTCTTCGTCACAACACGGTGCCCCTAGCAGCAGCGGTGGCATCCCAGGCGTCGGCCCTCTTAAGAAGAAGAAGAAGAGGAATTGCAAGATCCTCTAAGTCTTGACGACTGTAACGACAAGGCATAGGAAGGCGGAGGGCGTAATGAATGACTTTTGTTTTATCTGCATGATCTCGTCACGACCTGCTACTATTACGATCTGGAAAGCATGCGCCGCCATTAGCGAAGGGGGCGTCTCCTGTCCTGGGGGCTGGATGAACTCTAGACCGGGGACGACTTTCCCTTCACCAGGGACGTGGGATGTGTGTTTTTTTCTTTTGACTCAGGGGGAGAAGCACGGTATATAGGGGGGAACGCGGAGGGAAGGTGGTGAGACCTGAGTTGCAGACTCAATCCATACCCCTTACACACGACACAAACGGAGCGGGTACGGAGAGACCTTGATGGGTTTCTGTATCCAACAGTATTAAACCAAGTGGGAACTTTTCTATTTCCTATCTTCTTTTTTTCTTTCCTGTAGCATCGGGTTTTCTGTCTTGATAGGGCATTCCAGGGATAGGAAACATGAAATGTTAAAAGCATCAAAATTCAATGGCTTCCAAGGTTCGCAACATGTGTGGAGTATGAAATGTTTAAAGTAGAGAAGTCTAATGATTCTATTATTCGTGAGTTATGCACTGCTCTGATATGATACTAGTTTTAAGTTTGGTGATGCTATTGAGGTTGACTCGAGTTATGAGCAGCGGGACCATCGGAGAAATGGGACTGAAGGACCATATATATGGATGGATGGGATTTTGCAACGAGGATTGAGAATTCGATGTTGGCCAATACCCCATCTGTCAATCAATCTAAAGCAAACAAACTACCAGAACCTCTAGCAGATCCTTGCACATCATGTCATCTACCCAAGTTCAAGTTGCCGATCTCCCTCGATCTGGTTACTGCCATTCAGGCTGCGGCAGCGATGCAGGCTCCACCACAACCACAACTGATGGCGGCCCTTCTTCAGACGACGACAGCTTGTCAATAACCTCCAAGAGCACCACCGCCACCATCACAACTAATGGCTGCTCAAATCCAGACGACGGCAGCTCAAAAAGAGCAACCGCCGGCACCAATACATCTAATGGCGGCCCATTCTCAGAAAACCCATTTTGTCTCATGGTGTACGTCGATGACGAGATGACGGCGTGCGAAGAGCATCTGAAAGTAATCCGCCAACAACGCGAGGTCCTGCTCCAAAATGAGCATCTCGCGGCGCGGTGCGCGGAGAACGTCAAGAAGACCGAAGAGGAGCTGCGCCGCGGGGCCGCCTTCGCGAGGGAATGCAAAGTGCCCTGGGCGTACGCCTTTTGGGGTAAGAACCTCGGAGAGGACGCCAAGGCTGCCCGGAGAGAGCAAGAGGCCAAGCTGCGTAGGCTTCTATCGGGGGTGATGTACAAGTTTGAATCCGCCAGGCTGCGGTGCGAGCGGACCAGGGGGGTGGTCGGTGCCATCCGGAGGGCGCTTGAGGCGCTCCAGGAACGGGCTAATGGGCCGTGGGGTGTCGTTTCCGAGCTGAGGGAGCGGCAGGTTGAGGTGTACCAGTACAGTGATTCCAAGATCTGTATCAAGGTACGGCATGAGGGGGAGCCACCACGGACGGAAGTCTTGGAGGCGCATAAGAGGGGGAAGAAGTTTTGGGAGCAGCAGCAGGGGCTGATGAGGGATGTTCTTGAGATGGAGAGGGTATTGATGTTTACGGCGACAAAGTGTGTTGTTGCGGCTGGGGAGGTGAGGGGGGTTAAGGAGAAGGGACTTGAAGGGATGATACGGGGCGTCAAGCGTGTGGTTGATGCGATGAAGAAGAGGGAGGCGAGCGAGAATGGGTGTGAGACGAGCTTATGGGGGAATCTGCGGGCTATCAGTTGGTCCATGATGCGTTTTTGGTGATAAAGTCGGCATCATTGCCTCCTCTGGTGCACGCATATCGCATCGAGTTGAAGAGCAAGCCGAGCATCCAGTCGACGTCGTATATCCTCATCATTTCCGAATACGTATGGGGGTATCAATTTCATGAGCTCGCCTCGCTCTTCGAATCGCCGTCGTTGCTTCCTTCGCCTTCCTTGGGCTGCTGCTCGGGTTCCTTTGCCATGACGTTCTCGAACTGCGACCACAGGGCCTCGACGGAGGAGAACTCGTTGCCGACCTGCGTTGGCGAATGCATCAGCCCTTGTGCTCAATATCTTGCAGTATCATACGTCGCAACGATCGAAAGTGGACAGTCTTACCGTGATGACGGCCTCGAGGGAGCGATTCAGCTTGTTGATGTTGGCGAGGACATGCTCGAAGCTCTGTTTATTTTCAATGTCAGCTGCTATGTATTGACATGGGCGACGGGTCAGGCAGTATTCACCATTGCGATTTCTCCAATCAGTTCCTCTCGCTGCTGCTCGAAGTAGGTCTTCTCCCGGCCGCCGGCCTGGGAGTGGGAGAACGACCGCTGGTGTGACGACATGTTCTCGTTGGTGGTGAAGCTGTCGTCGGGGTATTGCGAGTCGCGTCGGTGAAGACGGCGCGTTTGCTGCGGGATGGCGGGGTACTGTCACTGCTGGATCTGGTGGGGTGGACTGTGCGGGGTGCGAGGAGTCTTATGGGCACTGTGGGAACAATGCCCTCAAAATAGAGGAATACCTTAAACATCTTGATAGTCTTCTTATAGCGGCAAAGGCGGGCTGCGTAATCCCAGTCGATCAGTTCTCATCAAATGAGAAAAAATAAAACTTAGAAACATCAATACCTCTCTAGAACATGTGATTTCTCTGCGTGGTCTTGCCGCAGAAGACGGAGCAAAAAGGTCGAGCATCAATTAATCAGAGTTGCGAATAGCCTCAACTAGTAAAAGATTGCGCCGAGGGGGAATCGAACCCCCGGCTCCCCGACGCTGCTGGATGGCAACGGAGAATTTTACCACTAAACCATCGGCGCTGATTGGTTGTGTTGAGTCGTTGAGAGTTGACTCAAGAGATGGCACTATATGCCGCATGTACATGGGGCTGTGGATCATTGTGAAGGAACTCAAAGACACTGGACGAGGGTCCCTTTCGAGGGGCATGAGCATCTTGTTGATTGGGAAGGCAGTGTAAGTTTTTCTTGGTGCTCTCGAGCTTAGTATACGATCGTCTTCTCTGGATTGTTTATTACTTATCTTACTCAACTTAGGAACTCTATGCGAGAAGAATAAAGACACAATTAGGGGAAACGAGCAAGAAGACAAGAAACGACAGCAATCAGCTAGAAAGATCATAGAGAAAGAACAAAAAATGTTTCAGAGGTTCAAAAAGAGCGATATTATATGAATATGAAGTTGAAGGACATGAGCGATTTCAACTTATTCCTCACTTCATGCGGAACGTAACTCTCCCGGAAAAGTACAGAACAATATCATAAATTTCAAATATGCTACCATAGACCAAAACCTCCTTTACCAACTCCAAAAAACAATGACTTGCTCGCTGCATACCGCCCCTTTTAGGCAGACTCTCCCATGCTCTGAATCATATCAACCGTCCCGTTCGCCACGCCCACAAACCCATTCACCTGCTTCTGCTCCCCCTGGACCCGATCCTCGGGCCTGCCCCAGCCGCCACCGCCAGGCGACATGACCACGATGCGGTCGCCCGCCTCCATCATGGCGGTGTTCTTACCGCCCAGGTTCACGACCCTCCCGCTCTTCTTGATCCACACATTACGCCCCCGCTGGCCGTCCTCACCGCCCCTCAGCCCGTACGGCGCAAACGACCGCCTCTCGCTGAGGATGCTCGCCTTGATGGGGATGCCGAACTCGATGTCCCTGATAATCCCGTCACCACCCGGGTGGGCACCCTTGCCTCCGCTGTCCTCCCTGAGACAGAACCGGCGCAGGATGACGGGGTACCGCCGCTCGAGCGACTCCGGGTCCGTGATGCGCGTGTTGGTCATGTTGGTGTGCACGCCGCTGACGCCGTCCCAAGTCGGACCGCCGCCGGCGCCGCCGCAGATGGTCTCGTAGTACCCGAACCCGGTCTCGGGGTCGTCGGTGCCGAAGGTGAGGTTGTTCATGCAGCCCTGGCTGGCGGCGGCGGCGCCGAAGGCCTTGAAGATGACGTCGACGACGCGCTGGGAGGTGAGCACGTTGCCGGCGCACACGGCGGCGTGCTCGGTCGGGCGCAGCAGCGAGGCCTCGGGGACCTGCACGTCGATGGGCCGGATGGCGCCCTGGTTGAGCGGGATCTCGGCGTCGACCATGCAGCGCAGCGCGAAGATGATGGCCGAGTTGCAGATGGCGATGGGCGCGTTCCAGTTGCCGTACGCCTCGGGGCCGGTCCCGTCGAAGTCGAAGACGGCGCCGCCGGTCGCCGGGTCGATGGTCACCTGGAGCTGGATCGGCGTGCCGTCGTCCATGTAGTCAATCGCGGAAAGGGGCGTGCCGTCGGTGCGGGCGTGGATCGTCTTGAGCATGTCGCGGACGGCGCGCTCCGCGGCGCCCTGGATTTCTTCCATGTAGAACTGGACGACGTCGATGCCGTAGTCCTCGATCAGGGAGTGGATCAGCTGGCTTCCGCGGCGGTTTGCCGCGGCCTGGGCCTTGATGTCGGAGATGTTGTCGCGGAGGCATCTGGTTCCCTGGCAGCCCGGGGAGTGAGCCGGTGCCATGAGGAGGTCGGTGAGTTCCTTCTCCTTGAAGACGCCGCCCTCGACGACCTTGAACGCCTTGATGACGGCGCCCTCCTCCCAGAGCTCCTTGGAATTGGGCGGCATGGAGCCCGGGAGGATGCCGCCCACATCGGCGTGGTGGCCTCTCGAGGCGGTCCAGAAGATGATCTTCTTGCCCTCGGCGTCGAAGATGGGGGTGATGACCGTCAGGTCGGGCAGATGGGTGCCTCCGCACACAGGGGCGTTCGACAGGATGACGTCGCCCGGCTTGAGGTTGCCCGCCCAGTGGTCAATCTGCCACTTCACAGCAAAGGCCATGCTTCCGATCATGGCCGGCACGTGCGGCGCGTTGGCGACCAGCCCGCCCTCGGGCGAGAAGACGGTGCACGAAAAGTCGAGCCGCTCCTTGATGTTGGTGCTCACGCTCGTCTTCTGCAGCGCGCGGCCCATCTGCTCGGCGACGCCCATGAAGCGGTGCCCGAAGATGGACAGCTGGATCGGGTCGACCGTCGTCGCGGACATGGTCTCCTTGGTCCCGACCTTGACGTCGATGACGACGTTCTCCGAGAGAACCGTCGCCGCGGCGTCGGGGATGACGACGATGGTCTGCTTGTCGTCCATGATGAGCGCGGGGCCGGTGACGCGCGAGTGCGGCGCCAGCGTGGCGAGCCCGTACACTGGCGTGTCAGCCCACCCGAGCCCCTTGAAGTAGACCTTCTTCGTGGTCTTGGCCGCGGGCGCCGGGACGGCCTTCTGCGCGGCGAGCTCGGCCGGCCAGGGGGTGGGCAGCTTGACGGTCGTGCGGCCGATGGCGCGGACGCGGTAGTCGTCTATGATGACGTCTCTGCCGACGGGGAGGAAGCCGAACTGCTTCTGGTGGGCGGCCTTAAAGGCCTCGAGGTAGCCGCCGGCCGCGGTCTCCTGGATCATGAGCGGGGTGTCGCTGCCGTGGAAGCGCATGTTGAGGTAGCGCTCGGCGTCGATGCGGGCCTCGGGGATGCGCTGCATGAGGAGCATGTCGGAAGCCTTGGCAACGAGCTTGTCGAGCTCGGCGGCGAAGACGGGCAGGTTGGCCTCGGAGTAGGCCAGGGCGCAGGGGGAGCGCTCCTCGTGGACGACGTCGGCGAGGGCCATGCCGTAGGCGGAGAGGACGGATGAGTACTTGTGGACGAGGACGCGGGAGATGCCCAGGGTTTTGGCGATGTCGCAGGCGTGCTGGCCGCCGGCGCCGCCGAAGGAGGCGAGGTTGTGGAGGCCGGCGTCGTAGCCCTTTGCCTCTGTAAGGGTGCGGATTGGGCGGCACATTGACTCGTTGGCGACGTCGAGGAAGCTGAAGGCTGTTAATATCACTTGACTAAAATTAGGGGCTTTTGAGGAATTGCTTACCCTGCGGCAACTTCCTCCACACTAAGACTCGTGTTCTCATCTTTGTTGATGCTGGCGGTGAGCTCCTTGAACAAACGCCTACTGGCATCGACATCCAGGGGCAGGTCTTCATTGGGACCAAAGATCTTGGGGAAGAACTCGGGACGCAGACGGCCGAGGACGAGGTTTGCGTCCGTGACGGTAAGGGGACCGCCTTTGCGGTAGCAAGCCGGACCGGGGTGGGCTGAGGCGCTCTCAGGGCCGACCTTGAACATGCCACTTTGCCAGCTCAGGATGCTGCCGCCGCCCGCTGCGACGGTGTTGATGTCCAGCTGTGGCGTCTGGACCATAACGCCCGCGGTTGTTGTCTCGAATACTTGTTCCAGCTCGCCCGCGTATCTAGATTCCCGTTAGAATTCGGTTTTCCTGAGCAGATGTGTCGGTGAAATACCTCGAGACGTCGGTACTCGTACCGCCCATATCGAATCCAATAACGGGAGTCTTGTCAAGCTCATCGTAGCACGTCCTCGCGTATCCAACGACACCACCAGCAGGGCCCGACAAGATCGCCCTCAAGCCAGACAGGCCCGAGAACTCGACCAGACCGCCGTCGCTCTGCATGAACTCGCAGCGGCACCCGCTCGTGCCCAGGTCCTCGAAGCCAGCCTCGAAGCCGGCGATGTACCGCTTGATCTCGGGCGTGAGGTAGGCGTCCGCCGTTGAAGAGTTACCGCGCGGCACGATCTTGACGACGGGGGAGAGCTCGGCGCTGGGGGAGATGTGGGTGAAGCCAATGTCGGCGGCGAGCTGGGCTATCGCGGCCTCGTGGTCACGGAAGGTGTAGCTGTGCATGAGGCAGACGGCGATGGAGCGGTAGCCTTCGTCGTATGCTTCCTGGAGGGCTTTTCTTGAAGCCTCGAGGTCTGCGATGGAGTCGTTAGGCAAAGGTTTTGGGCGTGAGTGTATGGCATGACTTACCTAGAGGCTCGAGAACACGGACGGCCTCGCCGGTGACGCCCTTGACGAGAGCGGGATCTGAGTCGATGTCGATGGTCTCGGGCTTGTTGCTCTCTGACCACGCCTCGAGGGTCACTCGCTCTGGAATCTCAATGACCTTGGAGTATAGGACGTCGGGTTTGCGGATGGCGAGGTCGAAAAGTTTCGGTCTTGATTGGTTGCCGATGTGAAGCAGATCCTGCTTATGTGTTAGCATTGAAGACGAATGTTTTGGGTGAGTGTACTCACCCTAAGACCCTTTGTGACTGCGAATACTGTGCGCTCTCCTTTCCTCTCGAGTAGCGCATTTGTGGCGACCGTCGTGCCCATCTTGATAGATCCTGCGCCTCGTCAGTTGATGCCGCTAATAAACAGAGTTTCGTGAAGTAGAACTCACCAACGCCTCTCAGCGAAATCTTCTTTCCCTTCGGGTACTCCTTGCCCGTCGCCTTCTCCAGCACTCTTCTGATGGCCTCGGCGGGGGCATCGGGGTAGTTGGCGGGATCGACGGAAAGCAGCTTGACGAGGATGTCATCTTGACCGGGGACGGAGGCGACACACTGAATTGTCAGATTTTGCTGGGTATTGCGAAAAGCAGACGAGACTTGCATCGGTGAAGGTGCCACCGCGGTCGATGGATATCCTGATACCCTCAACTGGACCTGGAAGAGAACCCATTCTGCCCTTGATCTGTGAGTTTGTGGTAGGTGGTGGTGTGTAATTGTAGTGTAGATGAGGGTGTCGACAATGTCTTGAGAGGACAGACTCTGAAACGGGCTCTGAAGAGATGGAAATGGCGATATCGAGATGAGGTTATCTCAATCGAAGCAGGACGTCGCGATGATTATACCAGTCCCCCCTCAACTGAGGTGCGGTATCTACAGCGCGCCCAAAGAGGCAATCCTCCGAGGCTCGCAGCCAGACTACCCTCGGAGCTCCATCGGTGGGCTCTTCGGCGACCGTGGACTTCTCCCCGGGCAAGACGTGCTCCGCAAATCCCATCACAAGGAGAGGGGAGGGGTTGTGGAGGCGGAGTGAGACAGAGAGCTCCTCCCGCCTCATCTGAATCGCGATAAGAGACTCTGTAGTGATGGGGGAAATGGGGAAATGTTGCCCCTCCGAGAGGCCCTGAAGGGCGGTTGGTGTGAGTGGCGGGGGTAACGGGCCTTATCAGCTTCGGGAGGGGTGTCCGAGGGCGCTTTCTGTAGGTGGAGCTCCGCTCGGCGCCCGGCGTGTGGTTGTCGGCATCAACCTTGCCCGGAGCGATTACTTTGGCTTCTCAATTGGCCGTACGGTGACTTCGGAAGAGATTCAATTTCACGATGATTGATGGCAGAAAATGATAATCATGGAAGTTGAGTAAAATGTCTTCAGATTGATATGCTATGTAACTCATGCGACGCTCCTAACAGTGTCATCCAGCGCCTTTGCAAAGTACTCGACATTCTTCTCGTTCAGCCCAGCAATCGAGATTCGTGATGTATCGGCCATGTAAACGTGATACTTTTCTGTTCCAATTGTTAGCAAACTGCTTTCCCACTCCGCGAACCATGGAAGTCTCACCTTCAAGATGCTGCACCTGGGCCTTGCTGATGCCCGTGTACCCAAACATGCCGCTCTGCTTGACGATATGCGACCAGTCGCCCGGCGTCTGCAGCCGCACCAGCTCATCATGCACCTTCTTCCGCATCGCCCGGATGCGGCCCGACATCGTGACCAGGTCCTTCGCCCACTGCTCCCTGATCTCGGGGGTCCCCAGCACCTTGGCCGCGATGCGCGCGCCGAACGCCGGCGGGTTCGACACCGTCGCGCGCTGCACGTTCTCCAGGATCGAGTTCACCGTCCTGGTAGTCTCTGCGGAGTTCGCGACAAAGGTCACGGCGCCGATGCGCTCGCCGTACAGGCCCATCGACTTCGCGAACGACATGCACACGGCGGCCTCGAGGCCGAGCTCGTCGACAAAGTAGCGGATCGCCCACGCGTCCTCGTCGACGTTGCCCGAGTTGAAGCCGAGATACGCCGAGTCGAACACCGGAAACACGCCGCGCTCGATGATGACGGCCGCGATCTGCTTCCACTGGTCCTGGGACGGGTCGCAGCCGGTCGGGTTGTGCGCGCAGGCGTGCAGGATGACGGCGGAGCCGGGCTCGGCGGCGCGGAGGGTGGCGATGTAGCCGTCAAAGTCGAAGGCGCGGTCCTTGTAGTAGGGCAGGGATTTCACGGCGAAGCCCATGGAGGCGAAGAGCAGGTCGTGGTTGGACCAGGTCGGGTCGGTGATGTAGATTGTCTTGATGCCCGTGTCGGCCTTCTTGAGCGCGAGGCCGGCGAGGAGCAGGGCGCCGGTGCCTGAGAGGGATTGGCATGATGCGACCTGTTGTGTGGTTGTCAGTGAAGGTTGACCTAGAGTTGTATAAGTGGCTGGTTTTACCCTGTTCTCTGCGTAGGCCTTGGTTGGGCCGAAGACGAGCTTGACGGCCTCGTCGCGGAACGGCTTGAATCCTGCGATGGGGAGGTACTCGTGTCCTGGCTCTCCGAGGGCTGCCTCAGCCGCTCTTACTGAAGGCAGGATCCAGGGCCGGCCATTCTCGTCGCGATATGTGCCCTGGCCGAGGTTCACCTTGTTCGGGTCCGTGTCGGCGAGGTAGCGCCTGGTCACGTCGAAGATGGCGTCGGGCGGGATGAACTGCGATCTCTCGAACGCCGAGGTCTGCTTGATTGAGCCCATTGTCACTGTGGTTTTTACTGCGACGAGATGTCGTTACGATGGAACAAGAGGCACAAGCACGGTCCAAGTGGACGTCAATCACGATCGAGGGATGGCGGTTGTGATAGCAGGCCTTCCCATTTTCGGGACCCCAGCCGATTCGGAGACGAAAGCCGGTCAGTGGTGGCCGGCACCGGCGCTGGGCCATTTCGGATGAGGGGCCCGCGGGGTTCGTTGTCCACTTTCATGGATTGCGCCACGAGATAATTATCAAATGCTCCGAGGGCAACAGGAGTGAAGTCCGCGCTATCAAGTGATGGAGCACTGGATGGAGCAGTCGGCGGGGGAAATAAGAGCAGCTGGCCCTGGTGTGCGTCTTGTGTGCTTGGGTGTTGGTAGAATCGTTGTGTGGTAGCTCACTCAGTACACCCCAAGTCACACGTTTGAAATCACATAACCCCGAAACAAAATGGCGCCCCGTTGTCCTCCCCGCGGCATCTACGCCCCCGTCGTGGCCTTCTTCCACGAGGACGAGACGCTCGACGTAGACGCGCTCAAGACGCACATTGAGCGGCTCTCCAAGTCGGGGGTGGCCGGGCTCGTGATCCAGGGCTCCAACGGCGAGGCGCCGCATCTGCTCCACTCGGAGAGGCAGCAGGTCATCGCGACCGCGGCGGCGGTGCTCAAGCAGCACGGCCGCCCCGACGCCGTCATCATCGCCGGCTGCGGCGCCCAGAGCACCCGGGAGACCATCCAGCTGTGCAGCGAGGCCAAGGGGTCCGGCGCCGATTACGCCCTGGTGCTGTCGCCCAGCTACTGGAGTAAGTTCTGTGTGCATGGCAGCCATCGGAAGCTGATCCGTTGTGCATCATGCATGATAAACGTTGCAGTTTGCTGACTCGGCAATTTGTGTGATGAACAGCCGGAGCGATGCAGAAGCCCGTCATCCAGAAATTCTTCGACGACGTCGCGACGGCCTCCCCCATCCCGATACTGCTCTACAACTTCCCCGCCGTCACCTCCGGCATCGACCTCGACTCGGACCTGATCGCCGCGCTGGCGGCGTCCAACGACAAGATCGTCGGGTGCAAGCTGACGTGCGGCAACCTGGGCAAGCTGCACCGCGTCGCGCACGACGCCAAGATCCCGCAGCCGTTCGCCGCGTTCGCGGGCAAGTCTGACTTCTTCCTGCACGGGCTGGTCGCCGGCTCCAACGGCGTCATCGCGGCGGCGGCCAACTTCGCGCCCAAGGTGCACCTGCGGCTGCTGGAGCTGTACGACGCCGGCGAGCTGAAGCAGGCGCAGGAGCTGCAGACCAAGCTGAGCCAGGCGGACTGGGTGCTGGTGCAGCTGGGAGTTGCCGGGTTGAAGGCTGCTTTGGACAGGTATTTCGGGTACGGTGGTGGGAGGAGTAGACGGCCGCTTGGCATGGTTGCGAGCGCAAAGTTTGAGGGAGAGAAGGATGCCGTGCTGAAGGGCTTGGTTGATTTGGAGACTTCGCTGTGAGTCTAGTTAAGCAGTAAATTGATTTAATTGCGACTGTCACCACCTGGCACGATCCTGTGTGAGAAAAACATGAAAACGAAGGCCATGGAGAGCTCTGGAATTTATTGATAGCCTTTTATTCCTTCCTAGTTTCGACAATGTCAGAGTCTCCATTGTTGGAATTGCCATCAAGTATTTTGACCCCATTTCGCTTGCTCCTGTCATCATCATCTACCAATCCGTCGGCACTGACAGTGACATGTGCTTTGGGCACTTGGCAATCGCTAAAGTCCACGACGACGGAGATGAATGCCTCAAAGTCCCCAAGCTCGCCATGCAGTTTACGCGACGCGATCAACGTAAACCTAATCTCAGGAGTGAACAGATTTGCCGTCCATGGTATCGATGGTCCTGGACCTAGATCTGAATTGTATGTCTGGAGTAGCATGACCTGCTCATAGTCGGGGTTAACGAGACCGACCCCGATGAAGATGTGATCTGTGAAATATCAGTGAGACACAGCGCGTTGAGCACTAGCCGTGTACAAGAGGCCTTGCCCTTCCCGTTGTTGCGAATTGAACCTCGGTTCTGAACTCAAAACCACCTTTCGCCTCCGTTGTCTGACCTTTTGTTGAAGCATCGTCCCAGACGACAGCACCATCCTGCCTCGTAATACCGACGACGGATCCTCCGGATCCCAGCATCACTTTTCGGAAAGCTTGTGTGCTGTTATTGAATACCTTGTCGTTGGTCGTGGAGCCATGGACTGCGAAGGGAGTGCTGTCGATTTTGAAAGTCGCCGTGCTGGAGCCGTCGGCCTGAGCTTCAATGGGCGGTGACGACCGAAATACTTCTCCGATCAGTTTTTGCTTTCCCCGAGATGGCGCAGGTGCGAGAGCGACAAGCGACAGCGCTGCCACTTGTTTTTGACCTGGATAGTGTAGATCTGAGAATCGATGGCAATCATCTATTGGTGCTCGACCTTGTGTTTGAAGCATCGTCGCGGCCAGCAGTCCTGCTCGTTTTATTCTTTCCCAAATGCCCCTTGTATGCCAGCTGAATGGCAGCCTTGAAGTCCCAGCCAGCCACATCCTTCAGCTTGCTGTAAAACCAGTAATATCACGGAAATCACGGCCAATAGACCTGGAGCATGATATAGATGAACATTGTGTTATATCACCAGAACAAGTAGAAGGGGTGTGTTGCATGTATCGACATCGGTGTACTAATGGATGTCACGTCGCTTCAAAAGCTCCGCCTTCCCGGCTCCGGCGACACCAACTTGTGCATTCATGCTTAACCTACTAGGTACCTCAATTCTTAGCAACTCCAGCCTCTGAAGCCAAAATGTCTCACCGCAGATCTCATCTCAATGCGTCCTTTTGCTCCAGTACCGTAAGACGCCCGACTTGAGTGCGCTGGGCTGCTTAAGCTTACTGCGTAGCACTGGGCGGCACACCAAGACCATCCTTATCCGCTCCCTGTCGGGGTGGCATGTGAGCCGTTTGGTGTAAGCCCATTGGACAAGATCGACCAGGGGTGGCTGATGGTGCCAACTCTGGAATGCCTGAAGTCGTGGGAAGACACCATCTTAGGCATCTTGGGTACCTTAGGGTGAGGTTGCTGGCTGCTCCCAACTGTCTACTAATCTTTTCTCCAGCGTATTCCCACTTGTTAGCTAGACCTGGGAACATGAAGTTGTCCTGACAAGTCTGGGTTGATCTCATCATGCTTTTCAGCATCAATCCAGCTCAAATCACACAGTCAGTCTCACAGAATCTACTCTCGTTGATCCAATGGCGCGTCCCCCGCCTGATCGGCACTGGCGCATGCACAACGGCCGTGACAGAGCTCCTTGCGGCAGCTGAAGCCGATTGCGGCGTTCGCCATTGAGTGACATAGTGTCAGTCGGTTCATTTCATTGGCTGAAGCTGGTGATAACGAAGCCGTCCACCAACCCCGCCCGTCCAATGGTCTCTCCTCCGCTTCATCACCAACCCTCCATCTTGCGCCTTATCATCGGAGGCACCTCATTGCACCCTCGCCCAGGTAAGGTAAGCTGCTGCCATGCTACCTCGACTGCTTGCTTCACCCTGGACTGTCAATCATCTGCCACGTTCTCCACCCCACCAGCTGCAAACACTTTAGACTGTCGACGCACCTCCGACGCCATTCAGGATGGTGCCCCTCCATCCCATCGCCAACCAGCAGCCAAGCTCTGTCAGGACGGCAGCTTTGCGAACCAGGCTCTCGATACCGCGACCAACACCGGCTGGTACCATGACTCGGACGATGGGGCTGGCTAACGAGCACGTCATTGTACCACCTACTTCGCCCATCAGGATAAGCGTCTCGATGGCACTCTGCGAACCATTGGAGGAGGTGAAGGTGAAGGCTTGCGACCCGTCTAGGAACATGTCAGCCCAGATCTCCCTCACCGTCTTAGCCTGCCGCCGCAAAGCTGCATGCAAGTCGAGCATTCTTTGTTCTTCGGGTCCTCGGGCGCCTGCGCAAGCTGTTCTGGGTAGTCCTCATTTATACATCATGCTGCCCTCCAGCCCCGTCCGCCCAGAGCTTGCCTCCTCGTTGTCACAGACACTTGTCGCAACCTTGATCGTCTGTTCAAGTCGATAGTCTTGATCGCAGACTCCTGCGATCACCCAAATCTCGGCTTCAGGATGTACAACCCGTCGGTGATCGCCTTCACGGCGGCCCTCTTGGCGACGGCGACAGCTCAATCCTCCAATCCTACAGTATGGGCTTCGGTCGCCCTCATGATGCACGGCGAGCGCACACCTCTACGCAGCGAACTCTCCGACGTCTTGACTCCCCGAGGAGCCCAACAACTACATGCCCAAGGAAACGCATTTAGGACTCGCTATCTCTCTGGCATCACGCCTACCAACTCGTCCGAGAGCCGGGTCACCTCCCGCTCCCCAATCCGAGACATTGCCCCCAATGTTGTCGACCACGCCCAGCTCCATATCCTCTCGGTCCCTGATGCGCACGTCGTTGCCGGCGCGCAGGCATTCATGCAGGCACTCTACCCGCCCATCAGTCACACATTCTCGGTAGACACTGGCGGATCAAACGTTTCGTTCTCGACGACTTCAGGGAACTACACCGAGTACCCTCTGGACGGCTACCAGTACCCTGTCATCCAGACTGCTGGGTATTTGGATCAGAGGTCAATTGGGTGAGTGACTAACTGTGCCTCAAAGCGCACTCGTTCAGACTAACATCGAACCCTACGCAAAGCCTCCGAGGCAACACAGAGTGCACGCAGTGGCAGGTCTCGACGCAGGTCGACATGACGCGCGACCCAGACATGCTCAAGCTCTACAACTCTACCAAAGCCAAATACCAGTCCTTCTTCACCACCCCGCCCCTCAACGACGGTGTTTACTCCCTCGCGAACGCCAACTTTTGGGACGCCTACAACATCTGGGACTACATCCGCTACCGCTACTCGCACGAGGAGGCCGTCTACAACGCCCTCATGGACGCCTACGTCAAGGACAGCCAGTTCCTCCAGGTCTACAGCAGACAGCAGCAGCTGGCTCTGTACTCGAACCAGGAGCCCTCCGGCCTGGCCAAGGGCGACAGGATCCGGACGGTGGCCGGCATGTCGTTCGCCAAGCAGGTCGTGGACGCGCTCAAGGCCAACGGCAACTTTGGCGGCTACTCGCGCAAGCTGACGCTGCTCTTCAGCTCCCAAGAGCCCTTCCTGTCCTTCTTCTCGCTCGCCCAGCTCCAGCGGGGCAACACCTCGCTCTCCAGCCCCTTCTGGAACGTCCCCGAGCCCGGCGCCGCCATGGTCTTCGAGCTCATCGGCGACGAGCCCGGCCGCCCCGACTCCTACCCCAAGGACAGCAACCTCTACGTGCGATTCCTGTACCGCAAGAATGCCGACCCGAGCACTCCATTCGAGGAGTACGCCCTCTTCGGCTCGCCCGCCGCCGAGCCGCGCGTGACCTTTAGCTACTTCAAGCAGGAGATGCTCAAGTTCGGCGTCGACGTGGCGACCTGGTGCAGCATGTGCGCGTCCTCGCAGCCCTTCTGCAGCGTGCGGAGCACCGAGGCGCCCACGATCGGCGCAGCGATCCGCGCGGTCGTGAGGAAGCCATACGTCGCAGGAATCATCGGCGGAGCGATCGTGCTCGCCGTTCTCGGCCTCGTGGTCGCGGCGTTCGTCTTGGCCGGCTTCCGGATCCGGCGCATGGGCAAGGAGGACAACAAAGACGGCCACCAACCCGCAGCCAGCCTTGGCGGGTTCAAGGCTGCGGAGAAGATGGCCAGCGATCCCGATCTGTCCGTCTCCAAGCGCGGCGTCCCGCACGAGAGACACGGGAGCTGGGAGCTGCGGGAGGGGAGGGATGTGGTGACGGGGGTTAATGGGGCGGGCATCAGCGTGGACAAGAGCAGCTCGGCCAGCAGCGTGCATGGCAAGGACCTGGATGATGATGGCGCGAGCGTGATGGGGGCTTCGCCGGTGACTCCGAGGGAGAGCGTCTGAGACACATTGTTGGGAGTGATTAGATTCGGAATATTTTTTGGCTTTCATTCATGATACCCATTGATCCTCTTCGTGACAACACTCGCTTGGACTCGGAGAGAAGGATTTACACCGGCATTGGAAGACTTGAACATTCGCTTGAAGCATCTGGAGCATATTTGATAGAGATAGGCGAGTACAGAAACTCCTTCATTGATCTTCATCTACATCCTCATCATAAACGGACGGAACCACCATCCACTTACACCTCACACTGACCATGGCCTCACTCCTTCGCAACCCTCAACCGACACAACACCGCCTCATTCCTATCAACCATACTCCCCGGACTACACACCACAGTGAAATTATGCCAATCCCGCGCCGGATCCACGCCCAGCCCCTCCACGCCCTCGTACCGCTGCAGCATCCTCACAACCACATACCCCGCCTCCGTCAGCGCAAGCTGCTGCCCGATGCAGATCCTTGGCCCGCCATTGAACGGCGCAAAATGCCACGCAGCCCCCGCGGCGCCCCTCTTGGCCTCCCACCGCTCCGGCACGAACTCGTCCGCGTCGGGGCCCCACAGGTCCTTCCGCCGGTGCAGCACGTGCGTGCTGAAGTTGACCTCCGTGCCTTTCGCGACGAACACGGGTGATGTGCCGTCTGCCCCGCCGCCGCAGGGGAGGGTTGTGTCGACGAGGGCGCGGCGCGAGTTGAAGGGCACGACCGAGTGCAGGCGCAGGGTCTCCGAGAGGACATGCTGCAGGTATGTGCACCGCTTCAGGGTTGCAAATGTCACCCTCTCCGCTGGGTCGTCGGCGTAGGTGCCAAAGGTAGACAGTACCTCGGCGCGGAGCTTGGCGAAGACGCGCGGGGAGCGGAGCAGGCAGTACCACACCCAACTCATCAGACTCGCCGTGGTATCGCGGCCCGCGGCGAGGAGGCCGAGGACCTGCTCGCGGACCTCTGTGTCGTCGCCGTCGCAGCGCTCGCGGAGGACGGTGAGGAAGTCGTAGCGCGCGAGGGAGTCGCCCCGTTTCTGGGCGTTATCGGAGGCGGCGATGGCGTCGTCGACGAAGGCGTGCAGCGTCCTCACCCAGGAGCGCAGCTCAGAGGTGCCGTAGGCCCAGTAGAAGCTGCGCAGGCGCATGCGCACGCCGAGGAGGGCCAGCATGCGCTCGAAGGCGTGGTGGAAGGCCATCCCCGGGTGGGCGTGGTCGTCGCGCAGGCGGGCGGCGAGGGTGGAGGTGCTCTGGCCGAGGAACAGCTCGGTGGCGGAGTCGAGAGTCAGGGAGGGGAGGAGGGAGGCGAGGCTGACGGGGGCTGTCCATCTTTCGGAGAGGCCGCCGCGCTCGATGCAGCGGAAGAGCGTCTGGACATGCGCCTCGAGGAGATCCAGGCGGGAGACGTTGTCGCGGCTGAAGAGCGGGCGCATCATCTCCCTCGCAGAGCGCCAGGCGGGCCCGTCGGCGGCGAAGATGCTGCGGCCGAGGACTGCCT